TTCTCTACTCAAAATTTTGAAAGTTTTGTATAGTTGGACTGCCATTTCTAATGCAAGGGAGAATGAATTTGCTGCATTATTAGGCTGAGAAAGTCCTTAAATTCTTATAATTGCTTTGCTTTATTCATTCCAGTAGTGATTGTTTTCCACAAAGAATCTCGCTAAATAGTATAGTAAAATTCTTTAATATTTTAAAAAATAATGAGAAGCTCAGAAGAACACAATAGGCTTGCCATCACCTAGGTATCGCTGTGCAGCTGCCCTGGAGCAAGCCCTCTGTGTCTGCAGTGTTTGCCTCAGGTCCTCAGCCCTAGGGAGCCAGAGGAAACCTAAAAATGAAGCAGTCTTCAGCTGCCAGAGCTACCCTGTGGGAGCACAGTAAAAGCATAACATTTTCAGACGTGGGGAACTTTGAATGCCATAAAGATATTGAAGTAGGGTGCTAAGTGCCTCCAATTAAGTTTTTGAAGGAACATATGCTAAAAATAGATTCTAGGAAACCTAACTTTGTATTTCTAATTTTCCCCTGTCCTCATATTGTTTATGTCATTCTTTTCTGTGTGATATGTTCCTTGTATATTTTAAACCATGGCAGAACTTTAAAGATTATTATTGTTTAGCTTCAAAACGAATTACAGAGTGAAATGAAAGATGTAAAGACATAAGGCAGTGGCTGTGTAGGCACTAGATTATAAAATGGTCAGTAATGCAAAGAGTGGCAAATGTTATCCAAATCCCCACTCAATTATATAGAAAACATTTATATGTATACAGTTCATCCTATGATGAAGAACGGAACATATGGACATTTACATGGCACCTGCTGATAACACTTCTGATAAAATTATCTTCAAATCAAATTTCAATAAAATTAATTACCTTTAAAAACACATTTTAATGTGAAATTTGCCACCTATCCTAAGAAATTTCTTATTTTTTCAAAACAAAATTGACATTTTGAAGCAATTTTCCAATTATCTTTCAAAACTGTTTGCCTTGGTTTCCCCTGTTTTCTGGAAAAAAAAAAAAAACTGTGTGAAGTGGGATCTTCTTATGTAGCCCAGGCTGTCCTCTAATTTACGAACCTACTGCCTCTGCCTCACAAATACTAGGGTTAGAGTTGTGGGCCACCACACCTTTTACTGTGTAAGCTACTTCCAAACAACGTGGGGGGATTATTATTCAGGTGACAAGTTTCTAATGATGTAAAGTGTCATTTCTTGGATTTTTTTAAAGGAAGAAATCATACCATAACACTTTTCAAACATCTCTCATTGCATGAGTACTTGTGATTACTCCTAAATTAGGTCTCAGGACACACTCTTCTCACAGGTGTCAGCCACACAGTCAACTGGGGCCTGAGATATTTGTTCAAAGAACATTTGCTCCTGTGTTTTCTTCCATTCACATAAAAAAATCACCACCAATAAACAGAACAACAATAACAACAACAAAAGCAAGGTTGGTGTTACCTCCAGTTAGTGTTGAAATTCAAGCCATTGGTGAAAAGGCTCTTAGTGCTCCCAAGGCCCAGCCAGGAACTAGATTATAGTTAAGGATTAACCTACAATTTCAAATAACATTGGTGATTTTGGAGCACTCATGTTTCAGGACTGAAGCAACCCTGCCTCCTTAAGGTTAATCAAAACTCAATCTTGCCTTTAGCAGGCTTGCTAAGGTTTTTGTGATTTAGTATGCATCAACAGATAAACTTTCAATTATTGTGATAAGCACACCCCAAAATAACACCATAATCAAAAGGCACTGGTGTATCCGGTAACTATTCCAAATAAATTATTTTGATGGATGGGATCTTTGCTTAATTTCAGCTAAAACAGAAATGTTCAGAAATTCAGTTAGTTTTGCTGCGGTTAAACTGCAAACAATTTCTGGTTTTAATAATGGTCAGTCTTTTTTCTTTAAGCTGCATAGACCTCTTTTACAGAAATTTTAACTTAAGTCATTTTTCATTTTTAGAAATAATTATTTTACCAGAAAACAGTATTTAAATCAATATAACTGGAGGAATTCACACCTCTTGTTTTATTTTTAATTATTCTCCATCTAAAGCAGTTTCACCTTTACCAAAGGTATTTCTATCATGTTCGTTAACCAATTTCAAGTGTTCTTCTCATCTAACTGAAAGGAAGCCTATCCTTTTACTCCTGTGTATCCATGCACATTGCACTAAATTCCATTGCCTGTGACTTCTAAATTATTCTCTGAGCCCTGTTTCAAATCACTTACAGTTCCTTACCAATCTAATAAATGCCCCACTGTAGTAACCTGTGGGTTCTCATTTTCAGTACTTAGTATTTTTACAGTTTTTTTGTTTTGTTTTGTTTTGTTGTTTTGTGTTTGACAGTCCTTAGTCTCACAGAGATCTGCCTGCCTCTGCCTCCCAAGGGCTGGGATTAAAGGCGAGGGTCACCAGGCCCAGCATAAAGGAAAAGAAAGATCCTAATACAAATTCTTTAGAAACACATCATGGGATTACTGAATTTTTAGGTCTTTTAGATGGTTCTGCACTGCCCTTACATTTATATTCTCTCCTTTTTTTAAGTCTTGAAGTGAATCCCTTGACACTAGAAGAATTTAGATACTGATTACTTGCGATTGGTTCCTGGTGATTTGCTCTTAATAATTTCCAGTTGAGTTTAATGAAAGTATGATCCTGAAATGCTGCTTCATTAAAATTGCATCTTTTCTCCTTTAAGTGTGGTTTCAGTCATTTCCCTCATTTTGTGGTGTATTTTTCTCCCCTTAAAAAGTAATGATCGAGAAAGCAGAAACAATTAAGGAAACCACATCAGTTCTTCCTAGAGCTCTACCACCCCTCCCGTTTTCTGTGGGTGAAAGGATGCAAGATGGGCTTCCGTAGGCTTAATGCTACTATTTTCTAAGGGGATGAGATTGTTTCAAAATATATACAGTTTTAGACCAGAAATAAATGAAGGTTATAGTAAAGTGAAGAATCTGTTGCATATACAAAGAAGTAAGGTCTTTAGTATTTTCAATATATATAAAGGTTGATTAAGTTATACTTGTGCGGCATTCAGACCTAATTTCACTGAATTGGTGATTTGCAAATGAATATCTACATGGATCCTTTTTAAAAATCCAAATGCAAATGAGTACAACTGCAGTAAAATATATTTGCAAATGAATCCTGTTGCTTTATTCATTTATTGTGTAATTACTGCAATCCTTCCCACCTTGTTTTCAGTATTTCTTAATCATTAAGTCGGAAGCATGACAGCAGTGCCAGCCCTGGCATGATTCTCTTTGACTAAAACCTTGTAAATTAACACAATTAGCACAGCATCATCCTGCTAATTAACTTCCACTGTCTGGTGCAGTGGTTTTGCAAACAAGGAAGAGGGAGTCAGAAGGGAATCAACATGCCATTCTGTTACCAAACTGTGTGTTCTGTTCAGTTTAGCTCAGCGAGTCAAAGCTGGCCATGTCAGGAGCCAGAGTCAAGCAATGAGGAGCTGAAGGGGTTGGGGGGAGGAGAGTAAGGGGATAGGAGCTGTCAGCACAGCCCAGGGAATTCAGAAGGGAGCTGATGCCACAGATGCTAGACCAGGCCTCTTTCTTATCAAGGAATCTCTGCCAGAGGGCACAAGACGGTTTGCAAAATTCACTTTGGGTAATACAAAAGAGATTAAGGAGGGCTGCTTAATATAGCTGTGCCCGAACAAGAAGTGTTCGAAGCAAGCTGAGATTAGAAGTGGATGAGCCAGCACTGAGAAAAGAAGAACAATGTTCCAGTTTTCTTCTGTAACTAACTGTATGGAACCCTCGAGGGGACATTATAAATAAAGTGCTTCAGGCATGACTTTCATAATATATGAAATAAGGCAATTTCTGAAGTCTTTTTAAAATTGTAAATTAAAATGATTGATTCTAACTGCTTAGTATTTTCTCTTCAGTGAGAAAATACCCACTTTTTTTAGAGTTCACTACAAAGTCACCTGCTTCAGTTAGTGATAGAATTACTTATATGGTCTCATTACGGAGCTGTACCCTTTCAGGTACTTCGACATGGCTTCCTTTAGAAATGTAAGGCGTTAGAATCTAGATTCTCCATCCTTACGTTCCATTCTGCCCCTGTTTCCTCTTCCCTTCCCCGCTAGTGCCTTGGCGTCTATAAGGGGAGGAGATTGTCAGAGAAGGAGGGAGAACAACACTAGAAGCCCGACAGACAAGTGATGCTTGTTTTTTTTTTTCAGACTCAACAACAGAACTGGGAGGCAGAGAGGAGCCAGTTGTAATTCATACCGAGTTGTAGGCTTTGTGCGATGAAAGCGGTGGAGCGCTGCCTGGGAGATTGCTTTGCTGCACTCCACGAAGCAGATTTGAAACTGTCGTGGACTACTTTAGATGAGAGTTGGATTATGGAATGACCTGCTATGTCTGTGTCAGATTGTTCTGCGCAGGGAGCATTATACTGTGCTAACTAGGTGTTCAGTACCAAATAAGAGAGGTATCCTAGATGCGATCTGTCAGCTGTGTCTCATTTTTATATTGTTAAAATATAAAACAGAAACCGTGGTGTGGAGAGCCAGAACTAGGTGGTGTTCATGCTAACAATATCGAATACCAGATATTTAAAATGTATGTGTATATTATTGTAAGAAACCATGAGTGAATTCTAATTTGACAGGATTGTGTGTGTACATATATATGTGTGTATGTGTCTAACAAATAACTTGATGGATTTGACAGAAATAAGGTTTCCTTATCTGTTTTTTAAAATTGGGTCTTCTGCAGAGTTTTCATTAACATTCAGTTTACTTTTTACACAAGGTGAAAATTTTATCCCATTTTGAAGAGTTCATTTTGCAAAGATCACATGTAGACATTACAACCTGTGCATATATTTTTCTGTGCCCATATTAATGGAAGATAATAGGTAACAAAAGTAGTCAGGAGAAAAATTTTAAGTGTTCAGATGAATATCTAAGTAAATTTACTGTTTTTCCCCAAACCCTTAGGCTTGAAGATGCAGTGGACGCCGGAGCATGCCCAGTGGCCAGAACAGCACTTTGACATCACCTCAACCACTCGGTCTCCTGCCCACAAAGTTGAAGCCTACAGAGGTCATTTGCAGCGCACCTACCAGTACGCCTGGGCGAATGATGACATATCTGCTCTGACTGCATCCAACCTTCTAAAAAAATATGCAGAGAAGTATTCTGGCATTTTGGAAGGTCCTGTGGACCGGCCGGTACTCAGCAATTACTCAGATGCGTCGTCGGGACTAGTGAACGGTCGGAAAAATGATAGCGAGCCCTGGCAGCCCTCCTTGAATTCGGAAGCTGTTTATCCCATGAACTGTGTTCCGGACGTCATCGCCGCCAGCAAAGCTGGAGTCAGTTCAGCCCTCCCTCCGGCAGATGTCTCAGCGAGCATAGGGAGCTCCCCTGGGGTGGCCAGCAACCTGACAGAACCGAGTTACTCCAGTAGTACCTGTGGAAGCCACACTGTACCTAGTCTTCATGCAGGGCTCCCATCTCAGGAATATGCTCCAGGATATAACGGATCGTATTTGCATTCTACCTACGGTAGCCAGCCCGCACCTGCACTTCCGTCGCCCCATCCATCCCCTCTGCATAGCTCGGGGCTCCTGCAGCCCCCACCTCCTCCTCCTCCGCCACCTGCCCTGGTCCCAGGCTACAATGGGACTTCGAATCTCTCCAGTTACAGCTATCCCTCCGCTAGCTACCCGCCTCAGACTGCTGTGGGGTCTGGGTACAGCCCCGGCGGAGCACCCCCTCCTCCTTCAGCATACCTACCTTCAGGAATTCCTGCTCCCACCCCTCTGCCTCCCACCACCGTTCCTGGCTACACATACCAGGGTCATGGTTTGACACCCATAGCACCCTCAGCTCTGACAAATAGTTCGGCAAGTTCTCTCAAAAGGAAAGCTTTCTATATGGCAGGGCAAGGAGATATGGACTCCAGTTACGGAAATTACAGCTATGGCCAACAGAGATCTACACAGAGTCCTATGTACCGGATGCCCGACAATAGCATTTCAAACACAAATCGAGGGAATGGCTTTGACAGAAGTGCTGAAACATCATCCTTAGCATTTAAGCCAACGAAGCAGCTGATGTCCTCCGAACAGCAAAGGAAATTCAGCAGCCAGTCCAGTAGGGCTCTGACCCCTCCTTCCTACAGTACTGCTAAAAATTCATTGGGATCAAGATCCAGCGAATCCTTTGGGAAGTACACGTCGCCGGTCATGAGTGAGCACGGGGACGAGCACAGGCAGCTCCTCACTCACCCGATGCAAGGCCCAGGACTCCGTGCAGCTACCTCATCCAACCACTCTGTGGACGAGCAACTGAAGAACACTGACACACACCTCATTGACCTGGTCACCAATGAGATTATCACCCAAGGACCTCCCGTGGACTGGAGTGACATAGCTGGTCTCGACCTGGTGAAGGCTGTCATTAAGGAGGAGGTTTTGTGGCCTGTGTTGAGGTCAGATGCATTCAGTGGGCTGACGGCCTTACCTCGGAGCATCCTTTTATTTGGACCTCGGGGAACAGGCAAAACATTATTGGGCAGATGCATAGCCAGTCAGCTGGGGGCCACATTTTTCAAAATTGCCGGTTCTGGACTAGTCGCCAAGTGGTTAGGAGAAGCAGAGAAAATTATCCATGCCTCTTTTCTTGTGGCCAGGTGTCGCCAGCCCTCCGTGATTTTCGTTAGTGACATTGACATGCTTCTGTCTTCTCAAGTGAGTGAGGAACACAACCCAGTCAGTCGGATGAGAACCGAGTTTCTGATGCAGCTGGACACTGTACTAACTTCGGCTGAGGACCAAATCGTAGTGATTTGTGCCACCAGTAAACCAGAAGAAATAGATGAATCTCTCCGGAGGTACTTCATGAAACGACTTTTAATACCACTTCCTGACAGCACAGCGAGGCACCAGATAATAGTACAACTGCTCTCACAGCACAATTACTGTCTTAGTGACAAGGAGTTTGCACTGCTCGTCCAGCGCACAGAAGGCTTTTCTGGACTAGACGTGGCTCATTTGTGTCAGGAAGCAGCGGTGGGCCCCCTCCATGCTATGCCCGCCACAGACCTTTCAGCCATTATGCCCAGCCAGTTGAGACCCATTACATATCAAGACTTTGAAAATGCTTTCTGCAAGATTCAGCCTAGCATATCTCAAAAAGAGCTTGATATGTATGTTGAATGGAACAAAATGTTTGGTTGCAGTCAGTGATAACGTCTTTAACAAAATGTAATGAATGTTGGCACACACACACATACAACCTGCTACATAGGGACTAGAACCCCTTTCCAGTAGTGTTTAAATTGCAATGGGTACTGGGGAAGACAACGGTTAAGTTGCATCTTTAGAGTCAGGGTAGATTTGGAGGAAATGCGCATCAGATGAGAGCCTCTAATTTGAAAGCCCCAGGTGACAGAAAGCATACATACATGGATGCTCAGTTCGGTTCAAGCTAGACAACACTCACCGAGGAGCAAGGTGCAAGTGTGTTGATTCTGGAAGGACATGAACCTCGTGTGTTGATTCCATTCTGCTGTTCTTGAGATTTAGTTGCTGTCAAGTGCCTGGAGTGGTGCTTTATTTTTTTGTTTGCCTCACAATTACATTGGTGGCATGTGCTAATATAAAGAGCTTTAACTTCAAACATTATTGGACTAAAGAGATGAACGGTTGTGTTACGACAGAAAACCAGATTTTTGCCATTTTAAGAGCAACAGTATTCCTCAATCCTGTCTGTTCTGCAGTGTTAAGCTAAGAACAGGTAAAACAGGGTAACGGTAATCTGGACCTTAATTTCTGCAGTTCATTTCTTTTAATGTTCTTGTCTGAAAAAACTCAGGAAAGTGATTGTGATTTGTACAGTACCTCAAAGGAATGTGTTGGAAGCACTATGTACTGCTGAGAGTAATCGGATAGGCTTCAATGTTACTTTATATTAAAATGTATGTTTACCTCAACAATTGGAAAATGGCAAGGAAAAATACTTTGAATGTATCCAGAAAAATACTGAAGTGTGATACAACTGAATATTTACAATTTAAAGGAGAAGTGGAAGGATTTTTTTATGTTCTTTTACTAATTATGGGGAATTAACCAGAGCAGAACAGTAACTGCAAAAGTTCTATACATTGCTCCTTGATAACTAAGTGAAAATGTTCTTAAAAGGTACACTGGTTAATTGAACGCTACGTATTCAGTTTGTGTTAGTGTCTAGAACAGTCAGCTGCAAACCTGTTTAGGACCCTGAAAGTCACAGTACCTAAAAACGACCGCCTTTTACTGCTTAGGGAGTAGTGGTGGTGGTGATGGTAGTTTGCAAGTTCTCCCTTAAACTGCTGGGAATGGTGTCATTCTATTCACTAATATAGTTTCTAGGCTTGCTGTGCTGTTTAATAGAATGCAGCGGATAGAACCAAAACAAAGAAACTCACAACTAAATATAAACAAAAAGCGACCACCTGCTACATAAATCCACAGAGAACCTCTGCTTTCCCACCCCATTCTGGCGTCACTCTGATCAGTGCAATTTTGCTTCTCATTTTGAAATCTGGGCTGTAGTAATCTCACGTTCATTTCTACCTCAGTTTCATTCTATTTCTTTTGGAAAGTAAGTGGAAAACTAGAAGCTGGACATGCATCCCGCAATGTGGCTTGCCAAACGTGAGGTTTTTGTTGTGTTCTGTTTTCTTCCATGTCTTGTCATAATCTAGTTTCCCAAATCAGTCTTTATGCGTTCTTTCACCCCAGTCTACGCCCCATAGCATATGCGATTTTCTTACTTCCCTGTCTTCTCCTGCTTCCCACCAAGTTGTTCTTCGTATCCTTTAATGCATCATGAGCAACTTTTATTGAAGGCTGTTCACCGAGGCCTCTCGACAGTCTGTGCAGGCCAGAGCTTCCTAGAGCCACTGCCCGTGCGTAAGCAGAGCAGAACAGCCTAGCATTTTGAATGTATTTTCCTGGGTTTTGTCCTTCCTTTTTTTACATTTAGAGATGCAGTAACTCTTGCAGAGCACTGGCATTTTATGTATTCAACAAGTGATGTACATTTTTAAAGAAATCTTAAATAAATGCAATGAGAAGCCCCAAGAAAGGTCTTTCTGTTATTTTTTTCCTTCAGAATTTTTGCTGAGATCATCCGCAATGTCATATTCATTCTCTGAAATAATCACCTAGAGAAGAGGAATGAGGGACTTCATGGTACTTCAAAATTTTATGGTGTTTCATTAGTAATTCCCTTTTTGATTTTTCATGTTGCTAAAAAATGAGCAAATGGACAAGAATTTAATGTACTATGGTAGTCTATCAACCAACACTGTTCTTAAACATAAATATTCCATATTTTAATAGCAGTGCCTTTCATTAAGGATACAAAAAAATACCACTTAAGCAAGCCCCCTGCTTTTCTTAGGGGGCTAAATACTACAGTCATGTTCTGAGTCTACCCTGTGCACTGCACATGGTAAGCAGATTCTAGTGTATACATTAACTTGTAAATCTGTACTGATCTCACCCACAAGTTTGCTTTATTGCACAGTGCTGACCTATTTTCTCTCTTTTAGACATCTCATCTCATTTCCGCCAACATGCTGTATTCATGTAAAAGCATCTGGCAAGTTTTGACAAACCCAGTCTTCTTTAGACAACTTTGGAAAAGCCAATGTTGACCCACATTTTTTGTGGTGTGAAACTTAATGCCAAATATATGACTATATGATTGTGTTTCACACTCACAAAACAGAATAAACTGAAGTCATACATGTTGGCTTTTAGCTTAAATGACTTTAAATTAATTTGAGAGCTGAGTGGTCAAAAATCCATGTATTTAAGCAGAAGCTGAAATTATGTGTGATTTTCATTTAGCCTGGTCTGGTGTAGGGATTATCTGTTAGCAAACTGGGCAGGTTGGAGCAATGAAGGTCTGCTGAAAGAACGAAGATTGACCTTTGAGTAGAT